TGTGGTGTGAGGTGTTGCAGATGTGTGTCTTGGAGTAGGGGGACAGGGATGTGGTGTGGGGTGTTGCAGATGTGTGTCTTGGAGTAGGGGGACAGATGTAATGTAGGGTGTTGGAGATGTGTGTCTTGGAGTAGGGGGACAGGGATGTGGTGTGGGGTGTTGGAGATGTGTGTCTTGGAGTAGGGGGACAGGGATGTGGTGTGGGGTGTTGCAGATGTGTGTCTTGGAGTAGGGGGACAGATGTGCTGTAGGGTGTTGGAGATGTGTGTCTTGGAGTAGGGGGACAGATGTGATGTAGGGTGTTGGAGATGTGTGTCTTGGAGTAGGGGGACAGATGTGATGTAGGGTGTTGGAGATGTGTGTCTTGGAGTAGGGGGACAGATGTGGTGTGGGGTGTTGGAGATGTGTGTCTTGGAGTAGGGGGACAGGGATGTGGTGTGAGGTGTTGCAGATGTGTGTCTTGGAGTAGGGGGACAGATGTGGTGTGGGGTGTTAGGGATGTATATTTTAGAGTAGGGGGACAGAGATGTAATGTGGGGTGTTGGAGATGTGTGTCTTGGAGTAGGGGGGGACAGGGATGTGGTGTGGGGTGTTGGAGATGTGTGTCTTGGAGTAGGGGGACAGGGATGTGGTGTGGGGTGTTGGAGATGTGTGCCTTGGAGTAGGGGGACAGGGATGTGGTGTGGGGTGTTGGAGATGTGTGCCTTGGAGTAGGGGGACAGGGATGTGGTGTGGGGTGTTGGAGATGTGTGTCTTGGAGTAGGGGGACAGATGTGGTGTGGGGTGTTGGGGAAGTGTAATTGGTTGTAGGGGGACAGGAATGTGGTGTGGGGTGTTGGAGATGTGTGTCTTGGAGTAGGGGGACAGGGATGTCGTGTGGGGTGTTGGAGATGTGTGTCTTGGAGTAGGGGGACAGATGTGTGGGGTGTTGGGGAAGTGTAATTGGTTGTAGGGGGACAGGGATGTGGTGCAAGGGGACAGGAGTGGGTTGTAGGGGACAGGGATGTGATTCAGAAGACAGGAATGTGGTGCAGAGGACAGGAATGTGCTTCAGGGGACAGGAGTGGGGTGCAGGGGACAGGAATGTGGTGCAGGGGACAGGGATGTGGTTCAGGGGACAAGAGTGGGGTGCAGGGGACAGGAGTGGGGTGCAGGGGACAGGAATGTGGTGCAGGGGAAAGGAGTGGGGTGCAGGGGACAGGAATGTGCTTCAGGGGACAGGAGTGGGGTGCAGGGGACAGGAATGTGGTGCAGGGGAAAGGAGTGGGGTGCAGGGGACAGGAATGTGGTGCAGGGGACAGGAGTGGGGTGCAGGGGACAGGAATGTGGTGCAGGGGATAGGAGTGGGGTGCAGGGGACAGGAATGTGGTGCAGGGGACAGGAGTGGGGTGCAGGGGACAGGAGTGGGGTTCAGGGGACAGGAATGTGGTGCAGGGGACAGGAGTGGGGTGCAGGGGACAGCAATGTGGTGCAGGGGACAGGATTGTGGTGATGGGTGCTGCGGATGAATGTGGGAAGTGTCTCTGAGTCAGATAGATGTGTGAAATATAGTTATTTCCCTTTATTTTCACGTGTTTTATCAGTTGCCTGGTCAGCAGACTCCGCCCCTTCCTTCGGGGCTCATAGACAAAAATGTCACATCTAACCAAAACATATTTGAAAATCAGCCAATCAGCAGTCAAATGCCAATTCAAAATCATCCAGTGCCATGCTGTCAGCTGTGTCAGTTATGTCATGGTGTCACAAACTACAACACAACGCACTGCAAGATCATCCGGCCAACAACTTAAAGGGGAAGTCCGAACAAGCACAACATTCAGTAATAATTTAGAAAGGAGTGATTCCCTGTGTAGTCTTCATTTAAATGCTGTGTTGGCAGAAAATCTAGCAATCTGTATCAGAATTTATCTGGTTATAATGATATGATCAGAGGACCACAAGTCCCAGCATGGTCTGTATACACTGTTTATTATACACTGTAGGACTACAAGTCCCAGCATGGTCTATATACGCTGTATAAGATGTTGCAGAAGGACTACAAGTCCCAGCATGTCCTGTATACACTGTATATTATATGACCAGAGGACTACAAGTCCCAGTATGTCTTGTATACACTGTATATTATGTGACCAGAGGACTACAAGACACAGCAGCACCACATGCAGTATGTAGAGGGCTGAGTATATATTATATATACAGTGTTGGATACAGTGACACCATATGCGGTATGTACAGGGCTGAGTATATATTATATATATATATTGGAGGTATGAGGGCTGAGTATATATTATATATATATATTGGAGGTATGAGGGCTGAGTATATTATTATATATATATATTGGAGGTATGAGGGCTGAGTATATATTATATATATATATTGGAGGTATGAGGGCTGAGTATATATTATATATATATATTGGAGGTATGAGGGCTGAGTATATATTATATATACAGTGTTGGATACAATGACACCACATGCGGTATGTACAGGGCTGAGTATATATTATAGATATATTGAAGGTATGAGGGCTGAGTATATATTATATATATACAGGGTCGGATACAGTGACACCACATGCGGTATGTACAGGGCTGAGTATACATTATATATATTGGAGGTATGAGGGCTGAGTATATATTACATATACAGTGTTGAATACAGTGACACCACATGCAGCATGTACAGGGCTGAGTATACATAATATATATTGGAGGTATGAAGGCTGAGTATATATTATATATATTGGAGGTATGAAGGCTGAGTATATATTATATATACAGTGTCGGATACAATGACACCACATGCGGTATGTACAGGGCTGAGTATATCATATATATATATATTGGAGGTATGAGGGCTGAGTATATATCATATATATATTGGAGGTATGAGGGCTGAGTATATATTACAGTCAGGTCCATAAATATTGGGACATCAACACAATTCCAACATTTTTGGCTCTATACACCACCACAATGGATTTGAAATGAAACGAACAAGATGTGCTTTAACTGCAGACTGTCAGTTTTAATTTGAGGGTATTTACATCCAAATCAGGTGAATGGTGTAGGAATTACAACAGTTTGCATATGTGCCTCCCACTTGTGAAGGGACCAAAAGTAATGGGACAGAATAATAATCATAAAATCAAACTTTCACTTTTTAATACTTGGTTGCAAATCCTTTGCAGTCAATTACAGCCTGAAGTCTGGAACACATAGACATCACCAGACGCTGGGTTTCATCCCTGGTGATGCTCTGCCAGGCCTCTACTGCAACTGTCTTCAGTTCCTGCTTGTTCTTGGGGCATTTTCCCTTCAGTTTTGTCTTCAGCAAGTGAAATGCTCAATCGGATTCAGGTCAGGTGATTGACTTGGCCATTGCATAACATTCCACTTCTTTCCCTTAAAAAACTCTTTGGTTGCTTTTGCAGTCTGCTGTGGGTCATTGTCCATCTGCACTGTGAAGCGTCCAATGAGTTCTGAAGCATTTGGCTGAATATGAGCAGATAATATTGCCCGAAATACTTCAGAATTCATCCGGCTGCTTTTGTCAGCAGTCACATCATCAATAAATACAAGAGAACCAGCTCCATTGGCAGCCATACATGCCCACGCCATGACACTACTACCACCATGCTTCACTTATGAGGTGGTATGCTTAGGATCATGAGCAGTTCCTTTCCTCCTCCATACTCTTCTCTTCCCATCACTCTGGTACAAGTTGATCTTGGTCTCATCTGTCCATAGGATGTTGTTCCAGAACTGTGAAGGCTTTTTTAGATGTTGTTTGGCAAACTCTAATCTGGCCTTCCTGTTTTTGAGGCTCACCAATGGTTTACATCTTGTGGTGAACCCTCTGTATTCACTCTGGTGAAGTCTTCTCTTGATTGTTGACTTTGAGACACATACACCTACCTCCTGGAGAGTGTTCTTGATCTGCCCAACTGTTGTGAAGGGTGTTTTCTTCACCAGGGAAAGAATTCTTCGGTCATCCACCACAGTTGTTTTCCGTGGTCTTCCGGGTCTTTTGGTGTTGCTGAGCTCACCGGTGCGTTCCTTCTTTTTAAGAATGTTCCAAACAGTTGTTTTGGCCACGCCTAATGTTTTTGCTATCTCTCTGATGGGTTTGTTTTGTTTTTTCAGCCTAATGATGGCTTGCTTCACTGATCGTGACAGCTCTTTGGATCTCATTTTGAGAGTTGACAGCAACAGATTCCAAATGCATATAACACACTTGAAATGAACTCTGGACCTTTTATCTGCTCATTGTAATTGGGATAATGAGGGAATAACACACACCTGGCCTTGGAACAGCTGAGAAGCCAATTGTCCCATTACTTTTGGTCCCTTAACAAGTGGGAGGCACATATGCAAACTGTTGTAATTCCTACACCGTTCACCTGATTTGGATGTAAATACACTCAAATTAAAGCTGACAGTCAGCAGGTAAAGCACATCTTGTTCGTTTCATTTCAAATCCATTGTGGTGGTGTATAGAGCCAAAAATGTTTGAATTGTGTCGATGTCCCAATATTTATGGACCTGACTGTATATATATATTGGAGGTATGAGGGCTGAGTATATATTATATATATATATTGGAGGTATGAGGGCTGAGTATATCATATATATATATATTGGAGGTATGAGGGCTGAGTATATCATATATATATATTGGAGGTATGAGGGCTGAGTATATATTATATATACAGTGTCGGATACAATGACACCACATGCGGTATGTACAGGGCTGAGTATATCATATATATATATATATTGGAGGTATGAGGGCTGAGTATATCATATATATATTGGAGGTATGAGGGCTGAGTATATATAATATATACAGTGTCGGATACAATGACACCACATGCGGTATGCACAGCCCGAACACATGACGGATATGACAGGTGTGGAGAGTTTTGTGAATGACATGGCAGACCCTCCTGTTGTCCCGTCTGTCACATACACATCCGGCAGCTGCAGCCAATAACCGGGGACAAGGGAGATGGACAAACAGACATGGAGGAGGACAGACGTCTCCTACTAATGCTGCTACTGTGCTGGGTATTTCTACAAGGTGAGGACAGGGAAATGGGGAGATGTGGCTACAGGGGGTGAGGAGGGGTACATATAAGGGTTACACATGGTAAGGAGGGGGATCAGGGGCAGATATGAGGGTATAAAGAGTGAGGAGGGAGATCAGGGGCAGATATGAGGGTATAAAGGGTGAGGAGGGGGATCAGGGGCAGGTATGAGGGTATAAAGGGTGAGGAGGGGGATCAGGGGCGCATATGAGGGTATAAAGGGTGAGGAGGGGGATCAGGGGCAGATATGAGGGTATAAAGAGTGAGGAGGGAGATCAGGGGCAGATATGAGGGTATAAAGGGTGAGGAGGGGGATCAGGGGCAGGTATGAGGGTATAAAGGGTGAGGAGGGGGATCAGGGGCGCATATGAGGGTATAAAGGGTGAGGAGGGGGATCAGGGGCAGGTATGAGGGTATAAAGGGTGAGGAGGGGGATCAGGGGCAGATATGAGGGTATAAAGGGTGAGGAGGGGGATCAGGGGCAGATATGAGGGTATAAAGGGTGAGGAGGGGGATCAGGGGCAGGTATGAGGGTATAAAGGGTGAGGAGGGGGATCAGGGGCAGATATGAGGGTATAAAGGGTGAGGAGGGGGATCAGGGGCAGGTATGAGGGTATAAAGGGTGAGGAGGGGATCAGGGGCAGGTATGAGGGTATAAAGGGTGAGGAGGGGGATCAGGGGCAGATATGAGGGTATAAAGGGTGAGGAGGGGATCAGGGGCAGGTATGAGGGTATAAAGGGTGAGGAGGGGGATCAGGGGCAGATATGAGGGTATAAAGGGTGAGGAGGGGATCAGGGGCAGGTATGAGGGTATAAAGGGTGAGGAGGGGGATCAGGGGCAGATATGAGGGTATGAAGGGTGAGGAGGGGATCAGGGGCAGGTATGAGGGTATAAAGGGTGAGGAGGGGGATCAGGGGCAGATATGAGGGTATAAAGGGTGAGGAGGGGGATCAGGGGCGCATATGAGGGTACAAAGGGTGAGGAGAGGGATCAGGGGCAGATATGAGGGTACAAAGGGTGAGTAGAGGGATCAGGGGCAGATTCGGTATAGGAGGTGGGGGAGAAGACTGGGAGTAGACATGAGGTATACAGGGAATTAGAGGGGGGAAGCTATAAGGGTAATTGGGAATGAGGAGGGGGATCTGGGGAAAATATGAGGGTATAAGGGGTGAGGAGGGAGATTGGGAGAAGGTATGAGGGTCTAAGGAGTGAAGAGGGTAATTGGGGGCAAACATGAAGGTATATGGGATAGGGAGAAGACCAGAGGACAGATAGGAGGGTATGAGGGGTGGGGGTGATTGAAGGCAGACATAAAGCTATAGGGAGTGATGAGAAGACCTAGAGGCAGATGTAAAGTTATAAAGTATTAGGAGGAGAATTGGGGGACAACATTAGGGTATAGCAGATGGGGAAAACACTGGGGGAAGGACTGGGGGGTGGACTGCAGGGGAGACATGAGGGTCACAGGGGTTTAGAAGGGGCACATATTGGGATTAAGGGGGATGAGGGGGATGGGTGCAGATATGAGGGTATAGGAGGCAGGAAGAAGACAGTGGGGTAGACCTAATAGTTACAAGGGGTTAGAAGGTGTGCATATGACAGATAGAGGGGTTAAAAAGGGGAATCAGGGGCAGATATACTGTAGGTTAGAGGAGGTGAGGAGGGGGTCAGGGGGCAGATATCAGGGTATACGAGTTGGAAAGAAGACTGCAAGGTATACAGGAGCATTACAGGGGATTAGATGGGGTACATATTAGAGTTATAGGAGGTGAAAAGGGGATTAGTGGCAGGTATTAGGGTAAAGGAGGTGGGGAGAAGATTGAAGGCAGATATGAGGGTTACAGGGGGTTATAAGGGGGCAGATACTGTTTATAGGTTATAGGGAGTGAGGAGGGGGACCTGGAGAAAATATGAGGGTATAAGGCACGAGGAGGAGGATTGGGGGAAGATATGAGAGTATAAGGGGTAATGTGGGTGATTTAGGGCAGATTCAAGGGTATAGGGAGTGAAGAGAAGACCTTGAGGCAGATATCAGAGTATATTGGGTGAGGAGCAGTCTCGGGGGCAGATATGAGGGTATATGGGGTGAGGAGGAGGAATGGGTGCAGATATTAGCGTATTAGTTTGGGGGCAGATATGGGAGTTAAAGGGAATTAGAAGGGGGCATGTATAAGGGTTAAATGAGGTATAAAGGGGGATCTGAAGAAATGATGCTGGTATAGCGGTGAGGAGAGGGATCAGGGTAAGATATGAGGGTACAAGGGGTGGAGAAGGATATCAAGGACATGTATGAAGGTATAGGGTGTAAGGAGAACACTAGATGTGAGGGTATATTGGGTGAGGAGGGGGATTAGGGGCAGGTATGAGAGTATAAGGGGCATGTAAGTGGGTACAGGGGTCAGAAGAGGGGCTGGATATAAGTAGCAGGGGGTAAGGAAGGGACCTAGGAACAGATATGAGAGGGTACGGGGGGTAAACATGAGGCTAGTGGGAAAATAGGAACATAAAGGGGCTAAGAAAAAGCATAAAAATATAAGATACAGAGGATGAGAACTGGGGCTGGGGACAGAAATGAGGGTTCATGGGCGAAAGAGGGACACTAAGGGCAGATATAGAATTCAGGGAGTTAGGAGGGGGGCTGGAGAGAGATATGAGGGTACAAGGACTGGTGAGTGGGGTTCAGGGTGAATATGAGGGCACAAACATGAGGAATGGTGACTCAGGGCAGATATGAGAGTACTATGGCTGAGGAAGGGGACTATTGTGCAAATAGTGGCTAAAGAGAGAGGCTTGGGGCAGATAGGAGTGTACAGGGGAGGAGGAGGGGACTATAGTGTAGATATGAGGGTTCAGTGGCTGAAGGGAGGGGGGGCTTGGGGCAGAGTTGAGGGTACAGAGGATGAGGAAGGAAAATATTGTGCAAATATGAGGGTACAGTGGCTGAAGAAGCTGGGCATTGGGCAGATATGAGGGTGCAGGGGCTGGGGAGAGGGACTTGGGGCAGATATGAAGGTACAGTTGCTGAAGAAGGTGGGCTTGGGGCAGATATGAGGGTGCAGGGGCTGGGGAGAGGGACTTGGGGCAGATATGAAGGTACAGTTGCTGAAGAAGGTGGGCTTGGGGCAGATATGAGGGTGCAGGGGCTGGGGAGAGGGACATAGGGCAGATATGAAGGTACAAAGGCTGAAGAAGATGGGCTTGGGGCAGATATGAGGGTTCAGGGGAGAGGAACATGGAGCAGATACAAAGGTACAGGTGCTGAGGAAGGGGAGTATTGTGCAGATCGAGGGTACATGGGCTGAGAAGGAGGACTTGGGGTAGATATGAGGGTACTGGGACTGAAGAGGGGGACCGGTGGGCAGAAATTAGATTAGAAGGTATAAAGGGGGTACTTGTGGGCAGATATGAGTGTATGAAGAGGCTGAGCACTGGGGAAAGTGTACCAGGATACAGAGACTGAAAAAAGTGCTGGGGACAGATATGAGGGTACAGGGGCTTTAGCGGGGTGGCTTGTGGTAGATTTGGGGGAAGAGTAGCTGAAGAGTAGCTGAGGAGGGAAGCTTGGGGAAAATCTGAGGTTTGGGAGGGGGCTTAGGGCAGATATAAGGGTACTGAGGAAAAGGACTGTTGCTCAAATATGAGTATACAGTGGGTGATAAGGGGGGCTTGGGGTACATATGTATTCTTCTGGAGATGGATTATTTGAACTGCCCCTCTTCTTGTGGTGAATTCTCTGAACTGCGGCTCTTCTGCGGATAAACTGGGATGGCGGGCACATAACACATGCAAAACACTACCAGATAGTCAAACTGGGATAAAGCTGATGTTCCCAGACACACCCAATGCACCTCTGCCTGTGATGGGGAGAAAGGTTCCCAGACACACCCCCCCCTCACTTCTGCCTTGGATGGAAATGGATGTTTGCAGACACATCTATTGAACCTCTGTCTAGGATTTGGAGGGATGGATGGAAGGAGATGGAAGAAGAGACACACCCACTGCATCTCACCTCGGATGGTGAGGGATGTTCCCAGAATCACTGTAGTTGTCGCTACATTGATTCTTGCAGTCCTCCGGATCCCATGCTGCCCTACTGCATGCTAATCACCGGGATTGCCAGCTCTGCAGGGGGTGCTATTCAGAGTATTTTTTTCAATTAACACAAAGCATTCTCTGATTGGATGAGGTGGAAATTTGCGAATTCTCCACTTCTATGGGGATCTCACAGGTATGGAACATGTATATTTAATATTTACCTTAGTCCCAGCTGGAACCCATTTTCACAGCTGATTAATGAAGCAGAGGGCTGTGCCGCTCTGCACATCATTATACTGTGAGTCTTGGATGATGGGACTTGGGTGGGGAGTCTTTAGTGGTGGGTCCTGGATGACGGGTCTTGGATGGCAAGTCTTGGGTGGCAGGTATTAGGTGATGGGTCTTGGATATTATGTGATGGGTCTTGGGTGGCAGGTCCTAGGTGGCAGGTTTTGGGTGGTGGAATTTGGATGGTGCATCTTGGGTGGGAGGGTCTTTGGTGGTGTGTCTTAGGTGGTGGGACTTAGGTGGCTAGTCTTAGGGAGTGGATTTTGGGCAGCAGGTCCTAGGTGATGGGTCTTAGGTGGTGGGTCTTGGGTGGCAGGTCCTAGGTGGCAGGTCTTTGATGGCAGGCCTTGGGTGGCAGGTCTTATGTGGTGGGACTTGGGTGGTGGATCTTAGGTAGGGAGTCTTTGGTGGTGGGTCCTACATGGCAGGTTTTAGGCGGAGGGTCTTAGGTGGGTATAAGTCTAGAGGAGTGGGCGTTCCTAGGCAGGCTGTATTTGCATAAGAAACCTCAACATGTGATGCAAAGCCTCCATGATTGCAAGAACTGAAATCCAATAAATGAAAGGGGCGGGGCCAGGGACAGTCAGGAAGGAAATAGCTAGATGACGCTGGACATCCCCCAGCCAGGAAATGAGGCTGAGCTCTATCTGACTTGCTGCAGCTTCTAATGCACATTGTGAGAAGCTCACTGTGTGCAGTGATATCAGAGGAAGCCCCAGTCCAGGGGAGGAGCTTCAGGTGTAGATAATGTTGAGAATGTCTTGTGTTGGGAGATCATCTCTACACTGATATACTGTAAGTATCAATTTCCCAGATACAGTGTTTCTCCATACCAGATGAATCCACTCCTGATGAAGATGAAGCTGAAGATACAGGCATGGTGCTGCGGCATTGTGTGCAATGGCTGTAGGGCAGACATTGCTCCTGGGACTGAATAGAGGGAATATATCTGGTATATAGAATATAAAATGATGATACTCTGTTTTTCAGGGGCGCTGGCACAAGCCAACAACAAAGAGGGAATACTCCGGGATACACTCTTTGAGAGTTACAATGTTCTTGTTCGGCCCACGAAGACCCCCCAGGAAAAGGTTACAGTACAAGTGGGGATGAGTCTGTCCCAGCTTATCGGCCTGGTAAGCCAAAATCCCAGAAACTAGCACTCTTATCTCAGACATTTAATAGTTCCAGACCCCAAAAACAGCTAAATGCTGTATACCTCTCCTAGACTGTAAGAACAGAAGAGTAGGCCCCTCGAACCCCTCGTGTTTTGTTTGTTACTGTATTGTCTCATGTACTGTCCCCCACTATAATGTACAGCGCTGAAAAAACCTTTTGGCGCTATATAAATACTGTATAATAATAATAATATACTAAGATGACTCCAACTATACATATGTTTCTGTATCAGAGGAGCTTACACTCTAATGCCCCCACTATAATTATAATACATTTATTTAGCTCTGACATATACCGCAGTGTTGTACAGAGAACACTGAACCAGTCACATTAGTCTCTGTACCAGAGGAGCTGACATGCTAATGTCCCCTTCCCCACAGTCACATCAGTCTCTGTACCAGATGAGCTTACACTCTAATGTCCCCTCCCCCACAGTCCCATCAGTCTCTGTACCAGAGGAGCTTACACTCTAATGTCCCCTCCCCCCAGTCACATCAGTCTCTGTACCAGAGGAGCTTACACTCTAATGTCCCCTCCCCCCAGTCACATCAGTCTCTGTACCAGTGGAGCTTACACTCTAATGTCCCCTCCCCAACAGTCACATCAGTCTCTGTAACAGAGGAGCTTACACTCTAATGTCCCCTCCCCCACAGTCACATCAGTCTCTGTACCAGATGAGCTTACACTCTAATGTCCCCTCCCCCACAGTCACATCAGTCTCTGTACCAGAGGAGCTTACACTCTAATGTCCCCTCCCCAACAGTCACATCAGTCTCTGTACCAGAGGAGCTTACACTCTAATGCCCCCTCCCCCACAGTCACATCAGTCTCTGTACCAGAGGAGCTTACACTCTAATGTCCCGTCCCCCACAGTCACATCAGTCTCTGTACCAGAGGAGCTTACACTCTAATGTCCCCTCCCCCACAGTCACACACTATTATTATTATACATTTATATAGCTCTGACACATACTGTGTCAACTATACAGAGAACACTGAGCCAGTCCCCACCCCAAGGACCCCTCATCAGTCCATGTCCATCATCTGCATTCAGTTCTGGGTGGACAGTGAGGTTCCCCCTCCATCCTCTACAGTCTCCTCCGATGTCATGATGGAATGGTTGAGTTCTCAGTGGCGGCGATGTATCTCTGTGATGTTGGTTCCTCTATTCGGACTTCACTCCACCCATATCGGACATGCAGAATCTGGCTCTGTGCCTGTATTTCACTCCTTGTTGGGTCATCACTGGATCTCAGAGAGTGATTTGTACTCTTCTCCCTTTTTCTCTTTGTTTTTTTTTAGAATGAGAAAGACGAAGAGCTGACCACGAAGGTCTACATGAATATGGTATGCCCTATGAAGCTGGAAGTCAGTTTGATATGTATAAAATATACAGATTTCATCATTTATGACAGAATAGTGCCCATCTTACTTATATCTTAAGGGATTTCAGACCACAACACATGATGTGGGTGGAGCTTAATACAAAAAAAGAAGTGGTGTCTTAACAGGTTATTTCCAGTGCAACCTGGGTCCCATTCCCAAGACCCAATGTTCTCAAGGAAGACCTGTGCAACCATTAAACATCTCTCCTTAAGTAATAACTAGGACTCTTGTGGGCTGGATGTGAGACCAGAAGTGATGTCATAACATATTACTTCCAATGCAACCTGGATCCCATTCTCAAGACCCAATGTTCTCAAGGAGGACCTATGCAACCATAAACCCTCTTCCCTTAAATAATACCTAGGACTCCTGTGGGCTGGGCCATCCAATGCAACACAGGAAGTGATGTCATAACATGTTACTTCCAATGCAACCTGGATCCCATTCTCAAGACCCAATGTTCTCAAGGAGGACCTATGCAACCATAAACCCTCTTCCCTTAAATAATACCTAGGACTCCTGTGGGCTGGGCTATCTGATGTGGCAGCAGAAGTGATGTCATAACATGTTATTTCCAGTTCCATCTGGATCTTTTCCAAGATCCAATGTTTTCAAGAAGAACCTAAACAACCATAAACCCTCTTCCCTTAAATTATACCTAGGACTCCTGTGGGCTGGGCCATCCAATGTGACACAGGAAGTGATGTCATAACATGTTACTTCCAATGCAACCTGGATCCCATTCCCAAGACCAAATGTTCTCAAGGAGGACCTATACAATCATTAACCCTCTTCCCTTAAATAATACCTAGGACTCCTGTGGGCTGGGCTATCTGATGTGACAGCAGAAGTGATGTCACAACATGTTATTTCCAGTTCCATCTGGGTCTTTTCCAAGATCCAATGTTTTCAAGAAGAACCTAAACAACCATAAACCCTCTTCCCTTAAATTATACCTAGGACTCCTGTGGGCTGGGCCATCCAATGTGACACAGGAAGTGATGTCATAACATGTTATTTCCAATGCAACCTAGGTCCCATTTCCAAGACCCAATGTTCTCAAGGAGGACCTATACAATCATTAACCCTCTTCCCTTAAATAATACCTAGGACTCCTGTGGGCTGGGCTATCTGATGTGACAGCAGAAGTGATGTCATAACATGTTATTTCCAGTTCCACCTGGGTCCTATTTCCAAGATCCAATGTTTTCAAGGAGTACCTAAACAACCATAAACCCTCTTCCCTTAAATAATACCTAGGACTCCTGTGGGCTGGGCCATCCAATGTGACACAGGAAGTGATGTCATTACATGTTATTTCCAATTCAACCTAGGTCCCATTCCCGAGACCCAGCATTCTCAAGGAGGACCTATACAATCATTTACCCTCTTCCCTTAAATAATACCTAGGACTCCTGTGGGCTGGGCTATCAGATGTGACAGCAGAAGTGATGTCATAACATGTTATTTCCAGTTCCATCTGGGTCCTATTTCCAAGATCCAATGTTTTCAAAAAGGACCTGTACAACCATAAACCATCTCTTTTTAAATAATACCTAGGACTCCTGTGGGCTGGACCATCTGATGTGAGACCAGAAGTGATGTCACAACATGTTACTTCTAATGCAACCTGGGTCCTATTCCCAAGACCCAATGTTCTCAAGGAGGACCTATGCACCCATAAACCCTCTTCCCTTAAATAATATCTAGGACTCTTGTAAACTGGGCCATCCCATGTGACACCAAAAATGATGTCATGATATGTTATATCCAATGCAACCTGGGTCCCATTCCCAAGACCTAATGTTCTCAAAAAAGACCTGTGCACCCATAAACCCTATTCCCTTAAAAAATATCTAATATTCTCACTGGCTGGATTATTTGTTGTGACAGAGGAAGTGACATCATGACCCAAACCCAGATTCCACCCGGCCCTAACCATTGGGTAAGGCAGCCTGTACACAAGTTCTGTCAACCCCAAGATGATGGTGGGATGCAGGTGCACCTGGCCTCTTCACTTTATCATCTTAAACACAAGTAAAAGCAAGGCTCTGGATACAGATCTTCAATGGGTCAATCAAATTCTAATTTCCTTGAGGAGGATCAGGAAGAACTTTTTCCCCTACGGGAGCAAATTTGTCCATGGCTTTTGGGGTTTTATTTGAAATAGTGGCCCAATATACAACCTATAATAATACAACAAGCATGAAAAAAGTACAAATAGAATCAACCAATTGTATAACAGCCAGATGGGAAAATGACCCAATGTTCTCCAGGAGGACCTGTGCAGCCATAAACCCTTCCCTGTAAATTGTACCCCAGACCCCCATGGACTGGGCCATGTGACAAGGGTATTCTTGAATTGGATCTCTGGATGTTTATTTCTCTCTCTCTTTGGATTCTATATACTGTACTGGGTTTTGCCCCCATTTCTAAGGGTGTCGTCATTTCGTGGAGTGCTGCCAAACCTGAGCCAGTGTGCCCAGTGATAATTTATAATCACATGTCTAGGGTTGCAAAAAGGCCCATCGAGGTCAGCCAATGGACAAAATTAATTCATAAATACTGTATAATAGAAAACCTCCATCTACAAAATCCTATGCCCACAGTGGATCCATAGGAAGGCAAATAAAACCTCTATCAGCCATGGTCCAATTTGCTTCAAATGGGGAGAAAAAATTCCTTTGGGATCCTCCAAGGCAGTGAGAGTGGAATTGACTCATTTGAAAATTTGTACCCAGTGCCTCGTTTTTGCTTGTCTTTATGATCCTGGAAACGATAAGGCCCGTGTACCTGTGTTCCACCTCTATCTTGGGGTTGAGAGCCCTTGTACATAGGCTGCCTTACTCAATGATTAGTGCCAAGTAGGATCTAGATCCGGGTCATGACATCAAATGGTTCAGCCAGTGGGAGTCCTTGACATGTCTTAAGGGAAGATGTTTTTTGAATACACAGGTCCTTCTTGGTTGGACCCGGATGCACTGGAGATAACATGTCATGACATCACTTCTGATGAGAACGTTGGGTCTTGGGCCTTATTTCCCACCTGACTGTGATGCCATTGGTTCACTCTTTTTATATGTGAATTGGTAACTATATTGGTGTTCTTCCACTTTATTGTATTTGTTATTGTTCTAATTATGATTTGGGAAGGGGGGTGGCAACTTTTTGAATATATAGCACCTCTTATGAGCTGGGTATATGCTCCTATAGATAGCACACAAGGGACAAACTAACTGTTTCTTCATTCTCAGGCCTGGAATGACCTCCGCCTCACCTGGGACCCATCACAATATGGTGGCATCAAGACTCTGCGGATTCCCTCTGACAGTGTGTGGAAGCCGGATATCGTCCTTATGAACAAGTGGGTGTCTGAATATACAATTACAAACCACAGAGCTGGGATTTGTAGACTTGGCATTCCAGTCATGTCCTCACATTAGATTTGGGGGCCCAAGGAGTCCTTTCTGAGGTCAGGCTGTTCATCGATGGCCATTCATTGGATTTCAGTTCTTTTGATCATGGAAGCTTAGCATCCTTTGTGTGCATTGCCTAGGGTGGTCTGCATGCATATACAACGTAGCTAGGACCACTCACCTCTCCTCTTCAGACTAACATTTACCCATCACAGCAATTGTTGCATTTGCAGAACTACTCCCAAGAGCAAGCCTATTGCAGAACTGAGGGCTCTGGGTGTGTTTAGGACCCCTGTCGGGTTTTAGTGTTGTCTGTTTCCGTGCTATTGCCACCAGGACTGAAAGTAAGGACAAGTCCACATTTCTAAGGAACAGAGGGGAATCCTTCATTTATATTGATTGTCAGGAGAAGATTTTCCTCTCTTCTTGCGATTACAGGACAGGTAATGGAGGGAGCCTTTAAAGAGTTTTCACCCTTCCCTACTCTATGGCAGTGTGTCAGGCAGGGGCGGAGTGACCATTAGAGCACTCAGGCACTGCCCGAGGGCCTGGGGTCAGTAGGGGGGCCCCATGAAATGCCCCTGGTACCTTTTATAGGCTTTTTTGGGTGTGCTTTGAGTGTGGGCAAGGACACGGGGGCCCCATGAATTGCTCCTGGTACCTTTTATAGGCTTTTTGGGTGTGCTTTGAGTTTGGGCAAGGACACGGGGGCCCCATGATCCCCTATTGCCCAGGGGCCCCATGATTTGTCAGTCCGCCCCTGGTGTCAGGTGATCCACACCCACCTTCTTAACTTCTTTTTGGATATTAAATGGTTTTATCCAGCTTTTGTTCCCCCATCTCACTGACTCCTGTCTTCTCCTTTCCCAGCTATGACGGTGAATTTGAGGTCGGGCTTGCGGTTGAAGTTTTGGTTAACTGGAAAGGCAATGTCACCTGGCTGCCCCCGGCCCTCTATCACAGCAGCTGCCCCATCGAGGTGACTATCGCCCATCAAACGTAATCCATCTCTGTACTGTTTTATCATTGAGATGTTGTACAAAGAAAGGAGCATTACACTTCAGCTCTCCAAAGTTTGGCTTGAAGGCTCTCAGGTTTATTTTTTCTGAGTTTGGAATAATGTGAGTGAAAAGTATACTATATGGCCAAATATTTGCTGTTGTCCAACTATCACACCCTTATGATCTTGTTGGGACATCCCATTCCAAAACCATGGCCATTAATATGGGGTTACCAGGTACTCAGCTCATTGATGGTGGAAACCCCTCATAATGGGCACTGCAGATGTGCAGATGTACAGACCAGGGAACTCCGCACAGGTATGATGGGAACCCCTCATAATGGGCACAGCAGGTGTACAGACCAGGGAACTCAGCACAGGGATGGTGGGAACCCCTCATAATAGACACAGCAGGTGTAGAGACCCGGAAACTCAGCACAGGTATGGTGGGAACCCCTCATGATGAGCACAGCGGGTGTACAGACCAGGGAACTCAGCACAGGTATGGTGGGAACCCCTCATAATGAGCACAGCAGGTGTACAGACTGGGGAACGTGGCACAGGGATGGCGGGAACCCCTCATAATAGACACAGGTGTACAGACCTGGGAACTCAGCACAAGGATGGCAGGAACCCCTCATAATGCACATAGAAAGTATAAAAGACCCGGGAACTCAGCACAGGGATGGAGGGAACCCCTCATAATTGGCACAGTGGGTGTACAAACCGGGGAACTTGGCACAGGGATGGCGGGAACTCCTCATAATGGACACAGCAGGTGTACAGACTCAGGAACTCAGCACAGGGATGGTGGGAACCCCTCATAATGGACACAGAAAGTATAAAGACCTGGGAACTCAGCACAGGGATGGAGGGAATCCCTCATAATTGGCACAGCAGATGTACAGGCCCATAAACTCAGCACAGAGATGGTGGGAACCCCTAATAATGGGAACTGCAGATGTCTAGACCCAGGAGCTCAATGCAGGGATGGTGATAACCCCTCATAATGGGCACAGCAGGTGTACAGACCCAGGAACTTGGCACAGAGATGGTGTGAACCCCCCACAATGGGCGCAGCAGGTGTACAGATCCAGAACTTACCTCAATGATGGTGGGAACCCCTCATAATTGGCACAAAAGGAGTTCAGATTTGGGAACCTATCACAGGAATGGTGAGAGTCGCTCATAATGTGAACAAAAGATGGGCAGGAATGGTGTAAACCCCTCATAATTGGTACAACATGTTTGTACAGCTGCAAACTCAGTGTAGGAATGTTGGGAACCCCTGATTACGGGAGCAGTAGTTGTGAAGACTGGGGATCTGGGGCACAGGGATGGTAGGTGTCCCTCATTATGAGCACAGTAGGTGTGCATTGCTCAGCAGATGGATGGTGGGAACCCCTCATAGTAGCACAGCAAGTATGTAGAGCCATGAGCACAGAAATCTCACCAGTGTAGTCCCTGAGAAGAATATGTCAGGTGGTAAAACTCTCTGTAAACAGAAAGAGGATCACTGCTTTCTATTTCTTTGTCCAGATATTGTCTATCCCACGTCTTGTGTCCTCTGCAAGAACGGTGGCAGTTTTCTCATTATGTTGTCATTTTCTCTTATGGAACATATTTTTAAATCTATAAAATAGGAAATTATCTGGTTTTCTGGCCTAAGCCTTCTTCTGTGGTCGGCATTTGCTGAGCTGTGAGTGATATTCTGTCAATAGTTTATCCAATTGTATCCCAGTTCCCACTTAGTCGTCCTCCTAATGTTTTTTTATCAGAATTGAATTGAGGTAACTGACGCCCCCCGTGACCCGTTCACCTTTGTTCCATCACTTCAGGTCCAATACTTCCCGTTTGACTGGCAGAATTGTAGCATGGTATTCCGGTCTCAGACCTATGAGGCAGACGAGGTGACCCTGGTACACCCGAGGGACGGCCAAGGAAGGGAGATCACTCAAGCCGTCATCTTTCCCAACACCTTTGAGGGTGAGAGATTTGGGGCGTGTATATTTGGCACTAACTTACTGCTCTTCTCCCACTTGTAGGTGATATGTCCTACCGAATGCTAGAGATAACTAGTAGTAGTTGGTCACATTCAACTGGACGTGGCCTGTATTATTGAAGACATTTCCTAGATAATTTAAGCCACTTTTTCAGTTCTAATGAGTGTCAGGAAGATATTTGTGTAAGCGAGTGTAGTTCAGCCTCCCTGCACTGGTGGCGCTGTTACGGTGGCCACTATGCAGACAGGCTGGTAGAGAATAAGAACTCTTGTTTCTCTGGTGCCTCCATAGGTGTCATCAGGGGAGCAGCCATCTGATTAGACACTGTTGCCCTGATTGAACTCAGTGGCCATCTTTAGTGAGGGCACTGGGGATGGAGCGCATTTGCAAAGTGGCTGGAACCCGTTGGTGAGGGGCAGTGGGTCTAGAACAGGGAAAGGATTTGTTGAAGAAGGGACAGTGTAAGGATCTTATGCCTGAGCTTCTACTTCGGATCTCCTCCCTTCTGCCTCTCGGTTGCCTTTGTTGCCACACCGCCCACCAGGCACGTCCTTCATCAGATGCTGTCGGGAACCACAAACCTGCCCAAGTGTCTTCTACAGAATTGAGACCGTCTACTATGAGTTCTTCTGTGAAGTACTGCTGGATTGGGTTCGACCATGTGCCACCTTGTAGAACTTTGAATTAGTACATTGTGCTGCATTCCTTGGCCACCGTGTGCATCTACTCCACTTTGGGTACCAACCATCCGGCCCCTCTTACTCCCCAGTAATCATAGCCACAAAGGTAGCACCAACACCTTTATCCAATCAACATGGAATGTGTCAAGGGAGATGCTGAGTGTCCAAGAACAGGATGGAAGGTGTGACAGTTGTAGAACCACCCTGTTCTAGTTACATAACCCCATGTTTGGTGAGGTCTGCATAGGTGTTAATCATTCTACTCACATCCCTGAAGGTGTGAACTGTTGCAAATCTCTGGTAGAGATATCTAAACTGGAAAAAATATAACTGGACAAGCATGGTGGCCTGCAATACCCAGTGGCTTAGCGTGGGCGAGTCCACAGGGGTGGTTGCCCCAGACACAAAATTTTTAGAGGCGCCAGGAAGACGTCAAAGCCAACAAGTAATCATAGGAAGTGGAGGCATTCCATGCCCCGCAGAACACCCCTAGCATACATGCAGTTGTGGGGTGGGGAATGCCTCCGATGTTTTTGATAGCTTTCAGGTGAGATTGTTTGGGCGAGGCTGACCACGCACTACTTATCTTAGACATATAATGGCGTTTTAACATCTCCAATCTGGTGATTAGACATGTACGGTTCGTTTTTTTTTTTCCGAATCAAAATTCGGGTGACATTTTCAATATTCGGAGTTTCGGATGTATCCAAATTTCTGAATTACAATAGTAACGAATGTAAACAAATCCAAAATAACTTTGCTAAATTTCGTCCAAAATCGGGATCGAGTTAGAATCTAATTCAAAACCAAATTTGAAATATAAACGTATTGCTGACTATTACTGATTTCTTTCAAAGACTGTGTGTGTAACGGAACTGGACCCCGACTGCACTGGGGTATTGCCGTTAGACTCCTGCTTCCCTGTCCGAACACAGATCCACAGACACCACCGCTGGCCATACAGGACGAGAGAACACCAGACTTCTTCAGACAGGAAGTGAACTGCTTTATTTTACACACACACAAGATATATATACAGGGCAGGGAAATACACCTAGTAACAGGAAACACATCAGCAGGTTGTCCCATCAGGGGGAAGGGCTGCCGGAAACACCCCCCACCAAGCCAATACACAATAGAACAATGGGATTGTCAGGGACCGACTGACGGAAGCCTCTAGTGCCCCACAGGCCAGAATTCCACAAGGCGCGGAATCTAAGCCCCAACCTGCTTGTTCACCAGAGCCCCTGATGGTGGGGATGGACTTGGAGCAGGTCGAGACCAGGTCGCAGCCCCTGGGTACAACCAGCTGTGGTAGAGGTACTTGCCAGTGGCATGTTGCGGGTGAGAGCCTCATGTGAAGAGGTGAACTAAGCGTAGATAAACGGGTCACAGGCCGGGTTCAGTAACAGGAGGTCAATATGTTCAGGAGCAAACAGAAGAATGGTCAGACAAGCCAGGGATCAGAGCAGGAGACGGTCAACGGATCAGGGTCAGGCAGGGTCTTCAACAAGCAATCTCTCAGGATACACAGGATAACAGGAGTAAGACCGTACGGCACTTGAGCATTGCCAGAGCCGGTTTTAAATAGAGCGCCCTGCGCTGTCATTGGTGACAAGCGTGTGCCCGTGTGCGCGAGTGCGCGGCCACAGCTGCCGCCGCGGGCGCCCAGGTCCTAGCTCCCGCGTGTTAGTGTGTCTTGGCAATCTGCGCATGCGCAGACCTACGCGCTGTGGCAAACCCTGACAGGACTACACCATGTGGCAGTAAACAATAAAGGAACACATACATCCCATAATAGTTTGCTGGTAAGCAAGACACAATAGAACAATGGGATGCAGCACATGGCAGTGAACAATGAACAACCCCCACCCCACCTATACATGTCCACACAATACTAGGACAGACCACCCTGTACCCCTAACAGACACAGGGTGACTCACACATAATGGGAACATGAGGAGATGATACAGGGGTCCCCCCACCCCCAAAAGTCACTCCAGTCACAGTGTGTATTATTGTTAGAATGTAGCCTAGTATGCGTGCCCCTGAAGACGTGGATGCGCACTAAACGCGTTGGGTGAGCCTTACGTGCTGACGTCACACCACCGCGGCCATCTTGGATCAGCTTTAACTCTATTCTACAAGTAGCATTCTGGTGAGTGCACATCCATATAAGGTGGTGGATTCCCATGTTGGATCATGAGCACTCTCAGGCATCCCAGCTGGTATTGCTGCACCTTGTAGTTCCACGATCACCGGGCATTGATGTGACCTGTAGTTCCACGGACTATTCATAGACACTATTTATGTTCAGATTTTTAGAGTTTTTTATGATTCTATGATTTTTTATGATCTGAGACGTTTTTATTGTATGAACACTTCTATTCTCAGAAGCACTCTATGATTGCATTTGTCACTTATGCTTTGGCACTGCACTTACATTTGAATAGAATATAGCCGTCTTCCGAAATTCGAGCTTCGAAAAGACTAGAATAGAATAAAACAGAACAGAATAGAAAAGAATAGAATAGAAAATAAAAGAATAGAATAAAATAGAATAGAAAAGAATAGAATTAAAAAAATAGACTACAAAAGAATAGAGAAGAAAAGAATAAAATAGAAAGAATATTCAAATTTTGAATAGAATAGAACCAGTCATTCTTCACAATGAATTTGGATCAGTTCTATGTTTTCAATTGAAATTCGATTTGGTTCAAATACTTCGAACCCATCGGAAAAATTTGAATCAGGTCAAAACAAATTCAACAAAACAAATTTTCAATGAAACAAATTAGTAATTTAGTGAAGCAATACAGTGCATGTCTACTGGTGATCTGACAACGACAGACCTTCAGCCATGTAATGCCAAGGAATAACACCCATGCAGACTTCAAGGATGGGATGATGTAACTAGAACGCCAAGGATGGGATGATGTAACTAGAACACCAAGGATGGGATGATGTAGCTAGAACGCCAAGGATGGGATGATGTAGCTAGAACGCCAAGGATGGGATGATGTAACTAGAACACCAAGGATGGGATGATGTAGCTAGAACGCCAAGGATGGGATGATGTAACTAGAACACCAAGGATGGGATGATGTAACTAGAACACCAAGGATGGGATGATGTAACTAGAACACCAAGGATGGGATGATGTAACTAGAACAGCAAGGACGGGATGATGTAACTAGAACACCAGGGATGGGATGATGTAACTAGAACAGCAAGGATGGGATGATGTAACTAGAACAGCAAGGATGGGATGATGTAACTAGAACAGCAAGGATGGGATGATGTAACTAGAACAGCAAGGATGGGATGATGTAACTAGAACAGCAAGGATGGGATGATGTAGCTAGAACGCCAAGGATGGGATGATGTAACTAGAACACCAAGGATGGGATGATGTAACTAGAACACCAAGGATGGGATGATGTAACTAGAACACCATGGACGGGATGATGTAACTAGAACACCAGGGATGGGATGATGTAACTAGAACGCCAAGGATGGGATGATGTAACTAGAACACCAAGGATGGGATGATGTAACTAGAACACCAAGGATGGGATGATGTAACTAGAACACCAAGGATGGGATGATGTAACTAGAACACCAAGGATGGGATGATGTAGCTAGAACGCCAAGGATGGGATGATGTAACTAGAACACCAAGGATGGGATGATGTAACTAGAACACCAAGGATGGGATGATGTAACTAGAACACCAAGGATGGGATGATGTAACTAGAACAGCAAGGACGGGATGATGTAACTAGAACACCAGGGATGGGATGATGTAACTAGAACAGCAAGGACGGGATGATGTAACTAGAACACCAAGGATGGGATGATGTAGGTAGAACAGCAAGGATGGGATGATGTAACTAGAACAGCAAGGATGGGATGATGTAACTAGAACAGCAAGGATGGGATGATGTAGCTAGAACGCCAAGGATGGGATGATGTAACTAGAACACCAAGGATGGGATGATGTAACTAGAACACCAAGGATGGGATGATGTAACTAGAACACCAAGGACGGGATGATGTAACTAGAACACCAAGGACGGGATGATGTAACTAGAACAGCAAAGACGGGATGATGTAACTAGAACACCAAGGACGGGATGATGTAACTAGAACACCAAGGATGGGATGATGTAACTAGAACACCAAGGATGGGATGATGTAGCTAGAACGCCAAGGATGGGATGATGTAACTAGAACGCCAAGGATGGGATGATGTAACTAGAACGCCAAGGATGGGATGATGTAACTAGAACACCAAGGATGGGATGATGTAACTAGAACACCATGGACGGGATGATGTAACTAGAACACCAGGGATGGGATGATGTAACTAGAACACCAAGGATGGGATGATGTAACTAGAACAACAAGGATGGGATGATGTAACTAGAACAGCAAGGATGGGATGATGTAACTAGAACAGCAAGGATGGGATGATGTAACTAGAACACCAAGGATGGGATGATGTAACTAGAACAGCAAGGATGGGATGATGTAACTAGAACAGCAAGGATGGGATGATGTAACTAGAACAGCAAGGATGGGATGATGTAACTAGAACACCAAGGATGGGATGATGTAACTAGAACAGTGTGGTTCCACAACACCCCACATCTTGTCCTTGGGCAATCAACATCTGCCTTGACACATTCCATGGTGGTTGGATCTAGGTGTCTGTGCTGCCTGTGCAGATATAAATGCTGGGGTAGCTTCCTGACACTCATTAGACTCATAAGAAGTGGTTTGGAGAAGCTTCTTAAACACCATAGAACAAGTCCAGATGACTGTGAGGACTACTAGGTATACCAAGACTGGATGAATGAGACAGTTCATAGAGATCTTCCATCTTCCCGGGTCCTTTGGTTTGCTTTGCTGGATCTAGGCTGAATTATTGTTGGTTCTTGTAGAATAATCTGTTTTCTTTCCCTGCAGAAAATGGCCAGTGGGAGATTCGATACCGATCATCCCGTAAGAACGTGAGCCCAACAGACCCGCTTTATGAGGACATCACATTTTACCTGGTGATCCGAAGGAAGCCGTTATTCTATATTGTCAACATCATCATCCCTTGCATTCTTATTACCATTCTGGCCATCTTTGTCTTCTACCTTCCCCCCGATGCAGGTATTAATATGCTCAGGCTTGACCACCGAAAAACACAAATATATAGAAACTCTTATGGGACCTCTAAATATTTACTCTGAAGGGGGACTTTCTACCTAATGTTGGACAAATGTTCTTCTACTGTATATCCTGAAAACTAGTAGTATTTAGTCACATTCACCTGGACTCATTTTGAAGATGTTTCCCTCATCTAAGTACCTTCCTCAGATTCCGAGGAGACTACTTGGATGAGAAGGAAAACATTGTTAACACCAAAGAACAAGTCTTGTGGCTTCCACAATGTCTACCATGACCTGCATATATGAGGTCCTGCAAGAACCATACCTAAACCCTTTATCCACACACCAGAAAGTAAGTTCCTAGTCATCTCTGTCTCTTCCTCCTCTAACTCTCTTTCTCTTCCGTCCTTCCAGGTGAGAAGATGACGCTGTCCATCTTTGCTCTTCTCACACTCACTGTCTTCTTGCTGCTTCTGGCTGACAAAGTCCCAGAGACCTCGTTGAAGGTCCCCATCATTGTCAACTATCTCATGTTTACCATGATTCTGGTCACCTTTTCTGTCATCCTGAGCGTAGTGGTCCTGAATCTTCACCATCGATCCCCCAACACCCATCACATGCCCCAGTGGGTGCGGCAGGTATGGCCCATCTCCCTTGTCAGTGTATTGACCTACTTGACCCCATAGTCCTTGAGACTCCAAACCTTCCTAAAGCTGGTGGGTTTTATGGTTAAAGGATCAGTTCACCCAAAAAAGTGATATTTTATTTGTGGGTTTTGCCTGGTGGCCTAAATCACTCCCTAGTTTTCTATATATTTTGAACCCTCCAGCAGCAACATCCCTCTGTCATAATTCCTGGATCTGTTCCTCTCCACCTAGGGGTTTGGGGTTGTTTGCTTTGTTTAGACTTTGTGTGTACCACCTCCTCCTGTTACATTCTTCACAATGTAAAGACCCAGGAAATCCACACAGGAATAGTGGGAACCCTTCATAATGGGCACAGCGGGTGTACAGAGCTGGGAACTCAGCACAGGGATGGTGAGAACCCCTCATAATGGGCACATCGGGTGTACAGAGCTGGGAACTCAGCACAGGGATGGTGGGAACCCCTCACAATGGGCACAGCGGGTGTACAGACCCAGGAACTCAGCACAGGGATGGTGGGAACCCCTCACAATGGGCACAGCAGGTGTTCAGACCTGGGAAATCATCACATGGATGATGGGAACCCCTCATAATGGGCACATTGGGTGTACAGAACCAGGAAATCAGCACAGGGATGGTGGGAACCCCTCACAATGGGCACAGCGGGTGTACAGACCTGAGAACTCAGCACAGGGATGGTGGGAACCCCTCACAATGAGCACAGTGGGTGTTCAGACCTGGGAAATCATCACAGGGATGGTGGGAACCCCTCATAATGGGCACATTGGGTGTACAGAACCAGGAAATCAGCACAGGGATGGTGGGAACCCCTCATAATGGGCACAGTGGGCGTACAGACCCGGGAACTCAGCACAGGGATGGTGGGAACCCCTCATAGTGGGCACAGCGGGTTTACAGACCCAGGAACTCAGCACAGGGATGGTGGGAACCCCTCATAATGGGCACAGCGGGTGTACAGACCCGGGAACTCAGCACAGGGATGGTGGGAACCCTTCATAATGGGCACAGCGGGTGTACAGACCCGGGAACTTAGCACAGGGATGGTGGGAACCCCTCATAATGGGCACAGTGGGCGTACAGACCCGGGAACTCAGCACAGGGATGGTGGGAACCCCTCATAGTGGGCACAGCGGGTTTACAGACCCGGGAACTCAGCACAGGGATGGTGGGAACCCCTTATAGTGCCTGAGATCCTATTATCCTGCAGTTCTGCCAGTGAGGCATGTACAAAGCATATGAATAAGAGATTTTCTGTGACCCAATTCTGGTAGAAATGATTGCTGAGAGATCTGCCTTTCTATGGACAAGTCTTTAGGGTCCAGCCTACCAACCATTGCCGATACAAGGTCATCCAGCACCCAGGGCAAAGAAGCCAAACTGCTCCCCCTTCCCCCATTATGTGTGAGCTTTGGGGATGTTACCCCCCCCCCCCAGTCAGCTGGTTGTCGAATTGCCCCGTATCAGAATGAGCTGAATGGCGCCCCCATCTGTACAGTACACCACTGCACCCAGGGCAGCCACCCTCCTGCCCACCCCCTGTCCCAGCACTGGCACCGACTCAATCCTTCTTCTTCACATAAATTACAAACATTGTATTTTTTAAATACTTTTCTAGTTCCTTGATGACTCTTTTTTACCCCTCCGCATTATAGATTTTTATCCTTCACCTCCCCCCGCTACCTCCGGATTAGCCGACCAAAACCTGAGCCGCCTCTTCCAACTGAACCACCTTCCCACCGGGCCCCAGTCTCACGACATGCCGACGAGTACTTCATCCGAAGGCCGGAGAACGACTTCATCTTCCCCAAACCTGAGAGGTGTGTGCTCTCCGTGACTGTACTGGGGCCTATTTATAGGCGGGGCCTCACTACTCCTCTCAAGAGCCCTCCTCTGTGATGCAAGCAGTGGGCTGGCTGTTGGGAGGAGCTATGAAAATATGACATTTGATGCATATTGAAACAACTGAAATCCAATCAGTAAAAAGGGCGGGGCCAGGGACTGTCAGACTGAGAAGGAAAGGGCAAGATAATGCTGGACGTCCTCCAGCCAGGAAATGAGGTGGGCTTGCCGCAGCTTCTGATGCACATTGTGAAAAAAGGGATAAAAATTGAAATTTGAGACAACAAAAAAACCTGAAATAAAATATTTATTGAAGGGTTCCTACACTATATGAAGGTGTCCTCTTCTGTAGGTACCAGGCGACCGCTTTCTCCCGGGATATGAAATGGTTCTTGGATGGTCCAAGTTTGGGGCTCACTCTCCCCCCCAGATCTACAGTCCGCCATCAGCGCCATCCGATACCTCGCCCAGCAGCTGCAGGAGCAGGAGGACTACGATGCTGTAAGTATCAGTATATTCTGTAGGTAAAACTCTACAGGTGACCCCAAGGCCTCGTTATTCTCAGAAGTCATTTAGTAGCTTCAACGTTGACTCAGTTCTTGGTTGCTTTTGTTGTGTTGAGGGACTATCTAAGCTGCTTTTGGCTTTGACTTGTATAGGGATGACTGTGTACAAATATTCCCAACTCATTCCTCTGCTGCCCCTCCTGGTCCCCTCTCCTCCTTCTTCTCACAACTCCTCTGCTGCCCCTCCTGGTCCCCTCTCCTCCTCCTTCTCACAACTCCTCTGCTGCCCCTCCTGGTCCCCTCTCCTCCTTCTTCTCACAACTCCTCTGCTGCCCCTCCTGGTCCCCTCTCCTCTCCTCCTTCTCACAACTCCTTTGCTGCCCCTCCTGGTCCCCTCTCCTCCTTCTTCTCACAACTCATCTGCTGCCCCTCCTGGTCCCCTCTTCTCCTTCTTCTCACAACTCCTCTGCTGCCCCTCCTGGTCCCCTCTCCTCCTCCTTCTAACAACTCCTCTGCTGCCCCTCCTGGTCCCCTCTCTTCCTTCTCACAACTCCTCTGCTGCCCCTCCTGGTCCCCTCTCCTCCTCCTTTCTAACAACTCCTCTGCTGCCCCTCCTGGTCCCCTCTCCTCCTTCTTCTCACAACTCCTCTGCTGCCCCTCCTGGTCCCCTCTCCTCCTCCTTCTCACAACTCCTCTGCTGCCCCTCCTGGTCCCCTCTCCTCCTTCTTCTCACAACTCCTCTGCTGCCCCTCCTGGTCCCCTCCCCTCTTTCTTCTCACAACTCCTCTGCTGCCCCTCCTGGTCCCCTCTCCTCCTTCTTCTCACAACTCCTCTGCTGCCCCTCCTGGTCCCCTCTCTCCTCCTCCTTCTCACAACTCCTCTGCTGCCCCTCCTGGTCCCCTCCCCTCTTTCTTCTCACAACTCCTTTGCTGCCCCTCCTGGTCCCCTCTCTTCCTCCTTCTTCTCACAACTCATCTGCTGCCCCTCCTGGTCCCCTCTTCTCCTTCTTCTCACAACTCCTCTGCTGCCCCTCCTGGTCCCCTCTCCTTTGTCTTCTTACAACTCCTCTGCTGCCCCTCCTGGTCCCCTCTCCTCCTTCTTCTTACAACTCCTCTGCTGCCCCTCCTGGTCCCCTCTCCTCCTTCTTCTCACAACTCCTTTGCTGCCCCTCCTGGTCCCCTCCCCTCTTTCTTCTCACAACTCCTTTGCTGCCCCTCCTGGTCCCCTCTCCTCCTTCTTCTCACAACTCATCTGCTGCCCCTCCTGGTCCCCTCTTCTCCTTCTTCTCACAACTCCTCTGCTGCCCCTCCTGGTCCCCTCTCTTCCTTCTCACAACTCCTCTGCTGTCCCTCCTGGTCCCCTCTCCTCCTCTTTCTAACAACTCCTCTGCTTCCCCTCCTGGTCCCCTCTCCCTCCTTCTTCTTCTCACAACTCCTCTGCTGCCCCTCCTGGTCCCCTCTCCTCCTCCTTCTCACAATTCCTCTGCTGCCCCTCCTGGTCCCCTCCCCTCTTTCTTCTCACAACTCCTTTGCTGCCCCTCCTGGTCCCCTCTCTTCCTCCTTCTTCTCACAACTCATCTGCTGCCCCTCCTGGTCCCCTCTTCTCCTTCTTCTCACAACTCCTCTGCTGCTCCTTCTGGTCCCCTCTCTTCCTCCTTCTTCTCACAACTCCTCTGCTGCCCCTCCTGGTCCCCTCTCCTCCTCCTTCTTCTCACAACTCCTCTGCTGCCCCTCCTGGTCCCCTTCCCTCCGTCTTCTCACAACTCCTCTGCTGACCCTCCTGGTCCCCTTCCCTCCATCTTCTCACAACTCCTCTGCTGCCCCTCCTGGTCCCCTCTCCTCCTTCTTCTCACAACCCCTTTGCTAACCCTCCTGGTCCCCTCTGTTCCTTCTTCTCACAACTCCTCTGCTGCCCCTCCTGGTCCCCTCTCCTTTGTCTTCTTACAACTCCTCTGCTGCCCCTCTCTGGTCCCCTCTCCTTTGTCTTCTTACAACTCCTCTACTGCCCCTCCTGGTCCCCTCTCCTCCTCCTTCTTCTCACAACTCCTCTGCTGCCCCTCCTGGCCCCTCTCCTCCTCCTTCTTCTCACAACTCCTCTGCTGCCCCCTCCCCTGGTCCCCTCTCCTCCTCCTTCTTTGACTTGTATAGGGATGACTGTGTACAAAGGTAATAGAGGGAGGAAACTTTCCCAAATCATCTGCTGTATTGGTATGAAAGTTATAAAGACATGACAGGAATGGGACAGACATTATTTGAGAACTTTAAGTGGTTTGTCACAGAAGTTCAAGAGAGCTACCCTGGCATGTGGGACCGGGCTCACCCATAAGGGGCTCACCCAGTCAGGTGGTTGGGGTCTGTCCTTATCATGTCATCGTATCTTCAATGCTTGATTCTGTAGATATTTTCTCCTTGGTTCCTTCTACTCAGAATGGCTCTAGTGTCCTTCTTACATCTCACTGATTTTCTCACTTTGTTCAGAATTCTTCTAGTGCCCTTTTTGCTGTTTTGCTGCTCCTCTCCTTCCTATTCTGACAACTCCTCTGCTGCCCCTCCCGGTCCCCTCTCCTTCCTCTTCTCACAATTCCTCTGCTGCCCCTCCTGGTCCCCTCTCCTTCTTCTCACAACTCCTCTGCTGCCCCTCCTGGTCCCCTCTCCTCACTCTTCTCACAACTCCTCT